CTTATTCCTTATTTCTGGTTTAAATATGTCCGTTCCCAATCGTCTCAAATAAGTTATCCAACGCGAACAGACTCTTGCCGTTACAACTTCATCCATGCGGTGATTTAAAATTACTCAATCACTTAAGAGAAACTGAAGGGATAATTAAACATTAAATATGTTTTAAAAAAATAGTCTTCTTGAAAGACAATCGTTTTAACCTTCGACTCTTCAGTTCTTCTCTTTTGTTGCGGTGTCATCTACAACAAACACAGTAAGCAAAGAATAAACCTTCGACTCTTCAGTTCTTCTCTTTTGTTGCAGTGTCTACAACAAACACAGTAAGCAAAGAATGGAAGTTTCTGGTGATGAAGAGTTTCGGTTTAACTACTACTTCCATTTTTTCTGATAGCACTTTCAATTGATTATGTTTTTGACTTACATATGTGCATATATCTTTGTACGCCCAACTAGCATTTTCTTATTTCTAAGGTAATTCTTTCCTTTTCAATTGCTTATGCTTTTGACTTACATAAGTCCATATGTCTTTATTGATCTGATAATATATGATGTTTGGTGTTTCCTTTCATATATCCCATCATTGACTTTACATCAAAGAAGAAATCGACGGAGGAAAGACAATCAAACGTCAATGAGGAAGCTTTGGCCGAGAAGAAGCCCATGACCAGTTTGAACCTTCATATTTAATTGGTGTTTAATTTCATTTATCTCTATTTAGGCTCTTTATTTTTTCCTTTTTATGTCCCAATTCTTGAATTTTTTTTCTCGACTTTGTGTCACTGTCATCCGAGGTAATTCAATGGACCAAGGAACTAGAGAATTTGGTCCTACAACAACAAATAGAGATGCAACTCAATCCTTGAGGCGATGATAGGAAACAGTTGGAAAGGTATGTTAAAATAACCGTTGACAATTGAGTATGATTTTCATACAAAAAAAATGAAAAATAAAAAGACGGTGATTAACTAACAGAGGGAGATAGAAAACTGAAAGTGCTTTTAACTCTACTGTTAAAGGAAGAAGGTACATGTTTCTTTTTAACCAAGAATGTAAGTGTTAGAATCTTAAAAAGGTTTATGATCGGGTTGATAAATTGCTTAGTATAAAAGAGGCATGTCTAATGGCGCCATCTCTTTTTTTTCATAATATTTTGTTTTTTTGAGGAAAGACTAGAAATTCTATGCTTATGAAAAGAAGTCAATTTACGTAATCTTGCAGGGACAATGACTAACTGTTGAGCCAAATGTTTAGCAGAAGTCATCAAGCTGTATTCACAATGAGTCAATATAGTACAAATGCTCGGATAAATTTTACAAGGTAGTATTATTTAGTAGACCTATTAAAGAAGTATAACTTAGGATGTCTTTAGGTTGTTCTCTGTTTTTCCTATGGTGCCACAATTCATACAGTTTAAAGTCATACAAATTGGTGCTTCTCCCAAGGGTAAATTCTCCAACATATTTTACTGATTTTAGGCTTATTAATCTGTACAAGTTTGCAGGAAAATTTTGTGCAAGATAATGCAAAAAAGTTAGCAAATATTTTGCCTAACTAATATCGATAAATGCTTAGTCAGAGATCATTAGATGAACGAAAATGAGATCGATGAGGTGCGATATTGTTTTAATGTTAGATAGGTTGAAATCGTATGATAAGGTGTCGAGGACTTTTGGGTTTAATTTTACAGCCTTAGATAGATAAGGTATAGGTAATCTACGAGCTAGAAGCATAATTTAGTTTGGCAGATCAAGGGGCAATGTGTTAGAAGTCCTTTTGATAGTAAAATGAAGGAGTTGTATAATGTAAATGAAATTTAGGGTATTATATTTGAGATTTTGATCTTTACTTTCAATTGATTAAAGTTGGAATTTAATTAACATTCGTTGTGAATTTAAGATGAGACTTTGCGTTGTGAATATAGTTTAAACTATTGTAATATGCCATTTATTCATTGTAATAGTTCATAGTAGAATCAAAGATTGGTTTTCGTTTTATAAAATTAATAAATCAATAACTATAAAAATCAAGGAATACTATTTAATATAGTAATATTTTGAATAATTTCTATGGTCGCACGAAGCACGGCTAATTCCACTGGTGTAGAGATAAAAGGAGTGGGCCCAAAATTTACGCTTATATAACTACACGTTTTTGGAATTACAAAGTTAAATACGGAAATTTGATTCCTTGTTTCATCAGAAGATACCAAATTATAGTGAAGAAAACGGAGGGCACAGTGACGGCGCAAATTGACTACTCTATCTTGATAGCTTGTTAGTGGAATTGTGGTGGAAGAAAAGGCTATATAATCAGGTATTTTGGTCAATTTTCGTACAATGATACACATGGTATTAAATTTACAGTGAAGTATTAGTTATATCTTATTCCCTCCGTTTCAATTTATGTGAACATGTTTGACTGGGTACGAAATTTAAGAAAAAAATGAAGACTTTTAAAATTTGTGATCCTAAACAAGTCAAAAAGGGGCGCAGAGTATTTGTGTGGTTATAAAAGCTTCTCATCAAGGATAGAATTATAAGTTTAAGCTAAATTGTTTCCAAAATTAGAAATGAATCATTCTTTTTGGAACGTACCAAAAAGAAAATAAATTCACAAACTGAAACGGAGAGAATAGTAAATAGGCTGATGATTGGGGGGAACAAGAGAATAATTGGGCAATGATTATGAGTTAGTGGTATGAAAAATGAAATATTGAATCAGCTAGGTAATTTGTTCCTGTGTCTTTAAATTAGAGAATAGTTATTGTAATGATTGGTGTAACGCGCTGATAATGATTGCAATGATGATTTAGTTGATATCTTCAAAAACACAATTTAATTGCAGTAGATACTAGACCGGAGGTTGGAAACGAAGTCTCAATTTACATTGCTACAATGGTATCAAGTATATAGAATACAATTATAAATCTGAAGCTACTGTTTCGGTACTTTTCGAAGTACGACTGTTGGCCTATGTTTGTGTACAATTATTTATTAATTGAATTGGGAGTTGACTTTGATTTTGACTCGTCATAAGATTATGAAAATTATTCATCTAGACTAATTAGGATGTGTTATTCAATATTTTGGATAGATTGAGGCCATTGGAGGCCGTTTGGTTGGTGTTCTAGACGTTGCAAGATTGTAGAGTTTCCCGTTAGCGAGGTAAGTGAGACTTTAAGCTTTGATGCTTGCTTTTCCAAAATTCGTTTTGAAAATATTTTGTCTGCCTGGTCCATGTATTGGTACGAGCGTGCGCTTGCCAGAATCGGTGGTCTTTGACCAGCCGCAAATATATATTATTTTGTAAAAAGCTAAAATTATTTAATAAGTGATTTGTGGTGTAGTGTGATGTGGCGTAGCCTCGTGCTATGGCGTTGGGGCGTTAGAAATTATTTCTTCGTTGCCGTAATATATATGGGGCATTGTGTATGCCGCCGTGATAGATTTGGGGCACTGTCTATGCCGCCGTGATAGATTTGGGGCATTGTGTATGCCGTCGTGATAGATTTGAAGCATTGTGTATGCTTCCATGGACTCGTCGAGGTGTTTGGTTAATTTACTGCACTGTCATTAATGACAAGTCCTTAGTGTAGATGGTGATGAGATATATATAGTGTTGTTGTTGAATAGTTGTTTGGGCCTTATAGAGTAATTATATGGTGAAAGATTTTTTGTGCATATTATTTATGTGCTCGTTGTGTGTTTGTATTTTCTAACACTTGTTCCAGAGGTATTCAGAGTGACGGATCGAAGATCTTATTGGGTTATATTTACATATAACTCACTCCTTACCTACATATCTATGCAGATACTATTGGTGAAAACGAAGCTAGTAGCTGACGAGTTCGCTAGAGTTGATTCAGTTGTTGAGGTGAGCCGTCGCATTGTTCGTAGAGGCTGTCAAAAGAGTCTTTATTATTCATTCATATGATGTCTATTGTAATTCTCTTAGATGCTCCATGGTCTAGTGTGGAATTTGGGCTAGAATTTCAGTATAATATTTCGAGATATTAATTGTTTGTAATGTATTTGTCAGATTATTTAGACACTCTTGTGATTAATCAAATACTGTAAATTAATGGCTAAGGTAAGAAAGTATGGTTCGCCTGGCGGGTGGTGTTAGATGAGTGTTAGTCACGTCTAGGGGGTAGTTTGAGACGTGACAACATAAATCTTTTATATTATTTTATTTTATTTCCTTATTTGAGAGTTGTATAGTTGTAAAATATTTTATTTTCTAGTTTTATTAGTTTTACTGTGTTATATATCTGTTGCAATATTATTGTATACAAAAGTGAATATCAATATAATTTTTTATTCTCTTATTTTCAACATGGTATCAAAACAGGCAGAGACCAGGGGTTCGAGTCTCACTGCCACCATTGTAAGAAAATAAAATTTTTATTTTTTTTGGCCAATAAAAAATGAATGAAACATGCATATGTGAGGGCGTACTGAAAAGACAATTAAGTGAATAAAGTTTGACTTCAACATGGTATCAGAGTAGGCAGATGTTTTGTTTCGAGTCTCACTGCAACCCATTATAAAAAATAAATTTTCACGTGCATAACCAATAAAAAAATAAAGCATACACGTAAAGCGGCGTGTTGAAGAGACAATAAATAAATAAAAACATGTTCTGATATCATGTTTTAAATCATACAGAAGAAGCATGCGTATTTACTTATAAAAATAGCTATAATCAAATAAAGAATTGGATTATTACTTTGATATGTGATTATTATTTTTATTTGTTAATTTATGTTTTATGTAGAAGTGCAGAATCAAATGATCAACAAAAAACTCAAAATCTCTTCTTTTCTTTTGTTCTATTGATATAACCCGCCGAATGATTCCCCAGCAGCTGAGTGGAGGTAAAAGTTCATCCCGACGCCTACAAAACTTCAAAATTATTTCATGAAACATTATCGAAAAATGATGAGGAGAAAAATGTGTCCACCGAAAATAGAGTCAGAAAGAAAAGATGAGGAAAAAAACGTATCTGTCGGAAATAGAGACAAAGAAAGAAAGGATGAGAAAAACGTGTCGGCTGAAATAGAGCCAAAGAAAGAAACGATGACGAGAAAAACGTATCTTCCAGAAATAAGGCCAAAGAAAGAAAGCAAAAAAAATTAACGATAAAAAAATGTGTTGAATGTTGTTCTCCACGCATAGTTACTTTACAAGAGGTAAGCGAGGCTCAACCATCGAAATAAAATATTATATCGTAGCACATCAATACAAGGGTCGTATCGAAACCTGGCTCTGATATTGTGCAACTCAGTTGAGCTTCGCACCCCTCTTTTTTTTATTTTTTCCTTTGGAAAAGGGTTATCTTTAAAGTAATCTTTTTTTTTATTTCGCTAATAAATTTATTATAGGTTTCAGAAAATATCAATTTTATATTTTCATCCCAAAACTTAAATATTTTCATTATCATACTCCAAGAGTGCAAGTCGTTTTTTTCTTTTTAGATGAATGAAGCACAAGTTGTCCTTCATTGTGAAGGGATGTCAACAATTATATTTTTGTTTCCGAGATGATAGTCAACTAGAAAAGAAAAGAACTACAAAGATCGAAATTTCTCTTTTATGACTTCTATTTTAATAGATTCCTTAATCTAACTCTTCACCTTTTTAACATCCCATAAAATTTTAAAATGGCCTTCAAAATTCAATTCCTTGTAGGTTCACAAGAAATCGCCAAAAATATAAACTGTATTGCCTCACGTTATGATATAATCCTATAACTTCACAACCTACGTTTTGTTGGGAGGATATTTTGCGATAGTTTCTCAGTAGCATTACAGAGGAAAGCATAAAGAAAGTAATAGTAGAGCAGAGATAATGACTGTAGTATTTCTTTTGTTCATCTTTTCTTTTCCCTTTTAAAAAAGTAAAAAGTGAAGGGTGAATTAGCTTCTCAAGGAAAAAACCTCCCATTATATTACACTTCTTTTTTTTCTTTTCTTTTCTTTTTTTTTTACTACTCAGAACAGAAGAACTTTGACTAAGGACCCGTTTGGCCATAGATTTTGTCAAAATAAATTTGAGTTTTATTTGGCAAACACATGTTTGACCATAGATTTTGCCTACATTTTGGCAAAATCTCAAATCCCAAATCCCAAAACCAGCTCATTATTACATTTTTTAAAAATTGCCCCAAACTTTTGTATTTTATAAAAGAGCCCACCATTTATTATTTTATAACAATGTTGTTTCGTCTTCTCGATCACCTGATAGTGTATCATGTAGTTCATTAGAAAAATGATAATTTTGTATCAAATTTATTTATGTTCAGGACTATGGTTTGCAATAATATAATGAATATTATTGATGATGGTATTGTTGGGTATTTGTGATAGTTTTTAGAACTTGTGGGTATAAGTCATGTTTCATATTTTTCCAAAATAAATTTGGGAAATATGTTTTGAAAACTGATGTCCAAACACATTTTCATCTTCAAACCAAACATCACCCAAATCAGATTTTTCAGAACAAATTTAAGAACCTATGGCCAAACGCTAACTAACAAATTTACACCAATTGTCTTTTTGCCAAGCTATGGCCATTGTACGAATGAAGTCGAGCAAATGGAAGCTCCAAAATTAGGAACTAGCATTTGTTAGGAGGTTCCCAAACTGCTGAGTATACACAAGACACAGTTTACAACAGATATTGCCATATTGCAATTAGGTTTCCAATTAAATCACTGCAACCAAGTTATACAACAACATAATCAAGAACATCCCTTAAGATATGTATAGTTTTACTAGATGCAGAATGTTGGGACACTGGCTGGACTATATACGAACGGTCTGACTGTGTGGGAATGCCCAGAAGGATGATTATAGCTGAACTTCACACCTGATTTTCCATCTAGTATATGTTTGCAGTGTTCATGGAAGCTGCTAATGGATCTCGCAAGGCATGCATCCCAACGATCACTCTCTGGCATTGTCTCTGCTACTCTGTAAATGCCCATTGAGTTTGTGAATGCCTGATAATTTAGAACTTCCCCAGATTTAGTTATACAAAGAACAGCAACCTCAGCACCTACAACAAGAAACACGATGAACACCCTCAAGTAGTGACACCAAAATATGAATCTATTTGTGTATCTATAGCACATGGTTTTGTAACAGATAATGTTTTATTGATCGTTGACACATCATCAATGCTCGAAATCACCTTAACCAGCAGAAAATTTAGCCGAGCAAACCTCAAAGTTGCATGTAAATCAGACATAATGCCAGACAGTTTATGTTCCAAATTGTCCATTGTAAAGTACAAACAGTTGGTTTTTGGCCTTCTTAGCTCTTACAGTATCAATAAAAATTGTCCTGGAGATATCTCATCTTGAAAGAGAAAAAACAACACCAGAATCTTGAGAAGTAGAGGCGGAAAGGAAAAGCAAACTAATTTAATACCATTATAAGCTAATCTTAAGAAGGGGAGCATTGGCGTAACTGGTAAAGTTGTTGCCATGTGACCAAGAGGTCACGGGTTCGAGCCGTGGAAACAGTCTTTTGCAGCAATGTAGGGTAAGGCTGCGTACAATAGACCCCTGTGGTCCGGCCCTTCCCCGCACCCCGCGCATAGCGGGAGCTTAGTGCATCGGGCCCTTTTATAAGCTAATCTTAAAGTAGACAATGACAGTTCAAAATACTTGGAATTTATCCTTTACGCCGGAAAAGAGAAGTTTTGTTACAACCTCAAGTTTTGTGATCTAAATTACTCCTTTAACCTGCCACTATACAAATCAGAGCACATTCTACACAACAAGCTCGAGGTGCTAACAACACCTAACTATAAAACCCTCCCATGGAATGAAGTTTCTGGAAAAAAAGAGTTTGAAGCAGGACAGCCCATGAATTCAGTTTTCCACCATGTTCCTGCGGCAGCTAAGTAAGAAGCAACCACGATGCCAATCCTGGTAGAAAACACATGCAACTGCTCAACATTGTATTCTATCACTCAAATGATCTGAGCTACATAAGATAGTCAATTAGCTATGCTGGAGACCAGCTATAAGTTTTTTCTAAAGTGAAATAGCACAGCTATGATAATACAAAAGCGTTTCCAATGTATGTATCTGCACAACGATCTAGGATTAATATTCAGAATCTAGATGGTTAACGAGTAGGCTGAGCAGGTTAACGAGTGAAACTGTAGATATTTCTGAGAGTCGGTTCGGCCATTCATGTATCCAAAAATATGTGAGGTATCAAAATCTTTCAAGATCTTATCTAATTTAATTATCACCATCCATTTGAGATTAGGGAAACCATAGATATCCAACTGATAGCCGAATAAGGTATTAACAAACATACAAGGATTAGAGCTCTAATAATGGAGTGTCACATCATACATTAAACAGAGGCTAGATTAAATTCTTTCTTTCCAGCTTTCTTGAAGAATATTCTCCAAAAGTCATCAATAGGTATTCCTAATTTCATATGACTCAGTTCAATATCTTTATTCTCTAGTGCCCCCATCCTAAGAAAATGGCAAAAATCAGAGCACATAACTTAGCAACGCCCATAACTAACAAAGAGTAATTGATGAACAAAACAAGGCATAGCAGCCAGATGGAAGTACAGAAAGTAGCAAGAAAGGCTATAACAGAGACTTCAATTTCACATTACAATTTGTGTTACTCTCCTAGTAGCGCGGGAAGAAACAGAGAGCTGCTTAGCCTATATTTCCATATTAAGCCTGCACCAGCGGGTAGATGGAAGCAGGGAAAGACAAAAGAAAAAATTCCCATTCGTGCTGCAGATAAGGAATCAGATATCAGATAGTACAAATATTTCAGACTTCAAAACTTACTGAAGTTACAGTAAAATGAGTAATACTATTAATTTTCTCTCCAGTATGCTAGATATCCACCTCCCTTAAAAACTTCATATATTAGGATTCCAGAAGTTGAGTTCTCTAAAATTTGGCCTCGCTATTTACTAGAGAACAGCCCTATGAATCTTCAAACTTATCTTCTTTCTTTCTCTAATTTATTGGAGAATCCAATCCAATAAGATTCAACAAAATGTCTTCTTTCCACTAGCATACTCAATGCTA